TGGCCACTGTTTGTACTGCAGATGGCACATTCCTGCCACCAGAAACCCTGCCAGCAATTTGGTGAATGACTCAACGAACTGGGTAAGTCCATGTTCCAGTAATATGGAGTTGTTGTAGAGAAACTGTTGATAGTTGTACTCCTGGTCATGAATTTGAAAGGTGTCAGGCAGAAGGGGATGCCAGTGATAAAGTGTGTTAAACTCAGAAGCAATACGTTTTTGGTACTGGAATTGTTGGTTGAAAAGCAGCTCTGGGTCAAACTTGAGTTTGAAGTGATAGCCGCTCAAGTGCTGGACGTAGTCTTCAATCACAATTTTAATGGTCTCTCCTATTAATATTAGTCTGCTCGTCTGGAACAACCGCTCATCATCCCACTCTGGATGTTCCTGTTTAAGCACATCGCACACTCTGTCATGTTCCCGTAGCCAGATTGTGGCATACTTCATCAGACCAGGCACTAGACCAAAGACCTCCTGCCCCACAGCAAACTGAAGGTGTTCAGGGATGTGAGGGGGGTAGATCATCTCCACCTGAGTGTCTTTGACTGTGGGAGGATACACCTCTCCACCAATCACCTGATATTTCAGTTTTCCATCCTTGAAGAGGCGCAGCTTATGTTGTCTATCCAGAGTTTCACCATAAACATGACTTAGGTCCACCCCGTGGCCCAGTCCTGTGGTGAAAGCTGGCCCTCCATTCCGATCTGACTTAAAAAATTGATGGGTGAAGTGCTGAGCAAAGAATGCAAACATCATATTGGTGCCTTGGGGGTCAGGAATGAACTTTCTTCTTAGAAGAACTTTCTCAAACACCTCTTTAGAATCAGGAAGCTCCTTCTTCCCTTTCACACCCATGGGCGTTGGGCAGTCATCTGCCACAGGAGGAAGGGCTCTGGTATAGTAGGAGAGGTTAGAGAAGGCTTCCCAGTTTTTGTAGCCATAGTGCACATTGTAAGTTGGGGGACTGTCAATCAAATGTGATCTGGAAGTCAGCACATATCTCATGATTGAATTTCGCAGGAAGGGAATATTATTGACAATGTTCCAGACCCCCTTGAAGTGGGTAAGTATGTAGTGGACTGTGTTTGGAGTGGGCTTCAGAAGTCGTTTTATTCTGGTCAAAAGTTCAGGTGTTGAACAATTTTCACCATAGAATCCTGTTCTGGTACAGTCACACTTATACTGGTCAAATCCTGTGCTCATACATACACCTTGGTTTTGACATGGGTTGGAACAGCAAGGATTTGCTGCGTGGCTGATGGCCAAGGCGGCGCTGAGCAGCAGAGCGGCCTGGAGCATCGTGGCCGAGGGCGGGGCGGTGCGCGGCTGGCGGAGCTTGGCTGTAGAGTCGGCTGTCGTCGGGAGGTGGCCCTGCGGGAGGCGCCGCTGCGGAGTTCCCGGGAGTGCTGACGCTCACTGCTCAAGTCGTTTGACAACTCACCATTGGTGTTTAAACTCCAGTTAAATGGTTGCTCTCTCTAGTATCCTCCCCTAAAATTGCATTCAACTTCCCCATTCAAGTACACTCCTCTTCCATCACTGTGCCCCCTGTCATGCAGGCATTCAAAACTGCTGTGCCCTTTTACACCGTTAGGCCTAAACATGTCAATTCTGGGAATAACATTATGAGCATGTGAGAGAAACTTTCAGAGACCATTCACTAACAGTGAGAGGAGTCATGTGCTGAGACAGTGGAATGAGGCAAAGTGACGTGGATGTTCCCCAGTTTCCTTTGAACAGAAATATTCCCCTGCAGTAATCGTGTAGTAAAAGAAATCCACCACCAATGAATTCACATATTGTTATGTCTTAATATTCTCAACTATTATATTAATAGAGAAATGGCTGACCCCTAAAAAAATATTAAACTTAAAGGACATCTGTTGCCCCTCTTTTCTTCAATCATATAATCTTAGGGGAAAGTGTTGCTTTAACTTCGGAGTTGTGACCATTGGGAAAACAACTCTAGAAAAACAATATTGTCATTGGCTACTAAAACTACTAATGAAATCATGCATTTTATAATTGTAATATAGAGAGAAAATAAATTATAAATCATTCATTTAAAAATTAATAGCATATTATTTACAAAATATTTATATTCTTGCCATTCATATTAGGCTCCATCATGGCTCAGGTGGCACTGGCTTGTTCCCATTTCATTGAATTAACAATCCTGATATTAGTATGTTGTTCCATAATATATGTGTTGTACCCTATGCATCTATGTGGGGATTTCTCCCTGAAAATGACCCTGGATTTGTAAAAATTATCACATCACCATATGGCTTTTACTCAATAAACCCCTCAAGGATAAATACCTTTATAAAAGAAGATTTTCTGAAATATTTTGTGAGGAAGTAAAGAGCAACAGACTTGGGAGCAGTCCAGAATGTGAGCACTTTTTTGCCAGATTATTAAGATAAACTTCTAATAAAGCTGTAGCAACGACCCTCCACAGACTTCAAGAACAGACTGAAGATTTCCTCCTGCTAAACATGTTCTCAAGTCAGAGTTGCAACTAACTTGAATCCTCCTGAGGCAAAGAAGACCCATGAGGTCATTAGACCAGCTGTTCTGTCACAGAGAGAACATATACCATAAATTATGATTTATACATCTAATACAACTAATAATTACAAAATGCTGTCTTGAACATAGTGTGATTAAATTTAATTTTGAATGAAAGTTTTTAACTCTTTAATATACCATATTTATCTTACTGCCAGATAGATGATATTTTACTGCCAGAGCATGATAACTCAATGCTCTCTGATAAAGAATGCAAATCAAAGGAGAATTCAAGCATCAATTATTTATAAGCATACTTGCTGCTGTGACCCCATGTGAAGGTAGCAAAACTCCAGTTCACGAGGTTGATGCACCCCTGCATCACCTGACCACAATTATCTCATCTGAAAGAGACCACAAGTATGGGAACAACCTGACACCTCAAGAAAACATAGTAGAGGAAGGCCACAGTAATGTCTTAGAGACCATCTGTGAGGACAAGTGCAAGGAGTACTACATACATGACATACGTTAAGGGCGTCTGAGTGGCAAACCACTCCCTCGTGCTAGGTGTGAGTGGCAAACCACTTACCCATAGGCACATCCCTAGGCATGAGAAGGCTCTTGCTCATCCATGTCACATTCCCTGCTCTTGCTCCATGGCCCACTCCTCGATTGGTCACTGCATGAATAGTTGGCCAGAAATTGTATTGGTGGCTGCCTGTAATCTGCTTAGCTAGTGCCTGAGTATATATACATGGTAACTGTGCAATAAAATCAGACCTGCTTCCTGCTTGGTCTCTGGAGGTCTTGATTAGTGACTTCACAACCATAGTTTCTTCTACACTGTTCTGTGAACCTTCTTGCTGGATGAGAGAGAGCCCACACAACCTTCAGTGCATAGCACTTGTCTTTTTTGAAGGTTTGAAAAAACCTCCTTGTAAGGTGACTTTCCTGACCTCTAAAGAATGTCAGTATGTTTAACATCTCTATCACCACATCTTTGATATTTGAATATTTCCTCACTTAATCCTTGTACCAGGGAAGGTTATTCCTCCATGAGCATTGACTTGGTGATCTTCATTTTTCTGTAACCATTTATAAGGCTGGGAATAATAAAAAGCACTCTCTCCATCCTGCCATTCTCTAAGAATGACAGTCCCTTCACACTCTTTTAAGCAGCATTCAGCTTGTGGATGAGTTTGCATTTTTCTTTATCTATGCAGGGGTTTTTACTTCTCTTCACACTGTTTTTCACATCTTACCTACAAGTCAATTTCTAACTGATGGAGCAATTCTGAGTGAAAATAAGAAACTCACCAATAAAGTGTTGATAGGTAGGCCTACCTACATCTTCTATGGAGGTTGTTAAAACTGAGTTGTGGCCTCAGGTTATTTGTAAAAAATAACTCCAGCCCCACCTCACTAAGCTCATTATATTTTAGCCTAAATTTAATCTCCACAGTGAATTTCAGCTCCTCCAAGGCATCTGTTCACCACAGGACTCTGCAAAGTAACCATGGATCCACTAGCTACAACATAAAACCAGGTGAACATTCCAACATTCTACCTGGAACCAAATCCAAATGTTAACTGTCCCTCTTCTGCAGGATTCAACACTCCCACTATGAGAGTCATATTCACTAATGAAAAACAAAATATCTTGTGTAATTCTCAACTGCCTTGAACATATGCAACTCTGCTTTGATTTTGATCAACATATTAATTTAATCACTTATGAAACATTATAGACTGAAAAAAGTCATGATATACACTTTTTAAAATATTTATTTTCTAGTTGTAGGTGGACACAATATATTTATTTCATCTATATGTGGTGCTGAGGTTTTAACCCAGTTCCTCACGTGTACTAAGTGAACACTCTACCACTGAGGCATAATCCCAGCCCCTCATGATATACGTTTCGATGTGTACTTTTTATTCAAAATAGTGTTTTGATATTCATTCATGTTTTTCTGTGGGTAAGCAGTTTATTTATTTTAATTAATTAATTAATTGATTAATTAATTAATTATATTTGTACCAGGGATGGAACCCAGAGGCACTTAATCACTGAGCCACATCCCTATCTCTATTATTTTATTTTATTTTATTGTGAGACAAAGTCTTTAAAATTTGATTAGGACCTTGCTAAGTTGCTGAGGCTTGATTTGAATAGTGATCCTCCTGCCTCAGCCTCCCAAGATGCTGAAATTACAGGCATCACTTCCTTTATGTCTAAATAGCTTGACATTATATGAATATGTAAAAAGAAAGTGTTAAACATTTGAAAACTGTAGTTGTAGGCAAATTTTAAAATGACCACAAACACAGGTAGGAGTGACTAGTTCAGGTGTTCTACTGTATACCTACAACAATTTATGATACAATTCAAATTTACTAGAAGAAACTAAGTGTGGTCAACAATTAGAAATGATAAGTATTTGAGGAGGCAAGATACTAATTACACCATTTTTGTCAATATATGTATCAAATTATTATATTGTACAATAAAGATGTACATGTGTCAGACTGGGGTAGTGGCTCAGGGGTGGAGTGCTTGCCTTGCACATGTGAGGCACTGTGTGCAATCCTCAGTACCACATAAAATAAAAAATAAAATAAAGGCTTTTGCATTTATCTACAACTAAAAAAGTAAACTAAAAAAAGATGTTCATGTGTCAATTAAATTATTTAAAAAGTTATGAATAGTTGTACATGTATATGTTCTTTCACAAACATGTTTTTATTTCCACTGGAAGTAGAAAAATGTTTAATCAGTTATTTTAAAACAGATTTTTGAGTTGAAATTTACACATCCAAATATTTAGACAATCTAAAAAATAATTTTTTTTTATAAATATTCAAAACTGTGCAACAATCACAATCTGATCTATCACCTGAGGATATACCCTTAACTTTACATTATTGATTGTAATTTTTCATTATGGTAAAAATATTTTAATGAGATCTATCCTCTTAACAAATGTATATGACATAAATATGTAAATACCTTCCTGGCCAAAATTAAAAGTCCAATAAAGAAGTGTCCAAACTTCCCCAAAGCCTGGATCACATGTTTTACAATGATAGCCTTTTTACCAGGCTTTACTTAATGTCATTAATGTTTTGACTAGTTATCATTATCATGATGATGCATAACACTGAACATCTTTTCATACAATTTTTCCATTTCTATGCTTTTTGGGGAAAATATCTATTAAGATTATTTGACCATTTTCAATTAAATTTCTATTTATTACTTGTTCTTGAGTTGGCACTGCCTACCATGTACTTTGGATATTAACTCCTTGTCATATATCTGGTTTGGGAATCTATTCTCCCACTCTGCTGACTTTTCACTCTTATATTCTTTGCTAAGCAGGACCTTTGAGTTATGACATAGTCCTGCTTGTCTATTTCTGTGTTGTGGCTCATGCTTTTGGTATCATGTTAAAGACCACTTATCAAAAGTCCCCTACAGGCCTATGTATCAAATGTCTGGTCTCCCAGTGATGCAACTGAATGGTGGTGAGACCCTTGGAAGAGTTCAAGTATAGGTCTGTAGGTCAATGGGCATGCCCATTAGATTCTGTAACCCAACTGTGCTCTCTATTTGCTTCCTGGTTTAAGGTGTGACCGTTTTCTTGCACACATGGTCCTGCTAGGGTGTGCCATAATTCAGAGCCCTCTCCAGAACTGAGCAAGAAAGTCACCATTCAGTTCAACACTAAAAACTGAGGTACATGAGTCCTTTTTCTTTATAAATTGTTTTATTCAGGTATTTTGTGGTACAATGTGCAACTAACTAATGTATGTCATTTCCCAGAAATCATTGTCAATATCGTTGCTATTAAAATATTCAAGTATGGTTTTTTGTACCAGTTTTAGTTTAATTTCTTGCACATCATT